TTAAGTAAAAGATTTATTAATTGCAAATGTAGAAAATTATTTTCCCTGTTAATATCTAAAGTCAGAAGTTAAATAAAATGGCCCTCAGCTTCTCCCACCTTCCCAGCCCACTCAGCAACTGTCACTGGGAACACATGCTGAGCTGTGTCCATGCTCCTGCCTTTTGGGGCACTTTGGTTTTGGGAATAGCCATGGAGACTCCCAAAAGCAGTTTCAAGGCCCCTGTGAGGTGCTGCATCCAACCCAGGCCATCCCTGTGCTGGGCTGCCAGGGAACACCATGCAAAGCTTGGCAAATCCAGAGCATGCAGGAGGTGCTCTGCAACAATTCCCTTGCCCCTTGCCTCCATCCTGGCCATGCACCTTCCTGCAGCCATGCATTACTCAGCTGTTGGGCCAGGAAGTGAATCCCTGGTGGGATGGGCAGGAAATAGTTAAGCAAGAGGGGTGAAATGGCCCATGCTGGCCTGGCAGGTCCTGGACCCCAGAATCACCCTCCAGTGTGGGCACTGTGGCTGTCACCAACTCCAGGTGAACCTGGGGAAGAGGAGCACCAGGCAGGTGCTCCAGCCCAAGTAAAATGCTTCCCGCTGGTCCTCTCTGCCTCTAGGACCTATCTAGTGTCCTGTGGGTTCTGCTGGTGTCCTGTGGTTGATGTCCTTCCTCAGTTCCCATGTCAGTCCCACATGGCAAGGCCGAGCACGTGTGCCATCCAAGGGCAGCAGCCAATAACCAGGTGCTGCCAGAAGCCTGGAGAAGCAGCCAAGTCCCCATGGGCCAGCAGTGGTACCCAGCAGCCAAGCAGAAATGCTGCAATGGTGCCTGCAAACCCACATCTCCAACACCACCACTGTATCACCTCAGTCACCCCCAAAACCCTCCCCTGCTCTCTCCCCAGACCGTGGTCTGGAGCATCTGAGTGCTGATGAGTGCCAACATATCACCCTTGCAGTAGCTGCCTGGAGATAAAGGCAGGGCCTGGGAATCAGCATCACTTTTGTGAGCAATGCTCCTTTAGTAGAGGAGCTGAGGCTGTCCAGCTCAAGGATGAAGTGTCCACGCCATGCCTGCACCTCTGGCATGGCCCATTGGCCTTTCTCCACTCCCTACACACCACCTCTAACACGGTCAGGGACAAGGAAACACGTGTCCAAGCTAAACCCAGGGGACTGGTTTTGCTGCAAAGCCCCATTTAACACAGACACAGGGTGGTTTGGGGTTGTGGCTTGGGGTGTTACAGGACAACCATCCCCAGGATCACTGGCTCCCTGATGGGGACATGCTGCCATCCACTGCAGGACTTGCCCTGAGTCTGGCTGCTCTGGTGCCACAGGCAGAGACAGTTCTTGCTCCTTGGCAGCAGTGGGTCAGGGAAACCTGCTGCCTGCCTGGGTTTCTGTTTGGGAGGGTATTTAAGGGTGTTCTCCAGGGTGTGCCAGCCCTGGCCTCCACCCTGCTTTCACAAGCACCCTCTCCAAAAGGAGCTTGTTGTTCTCGGTCATGGAGCGTAATGAGCACCGTGAGGTTTCCCCTCACGATGGTCAGAGCAGCCACAGGGCAAGCTGAGCTCTGGGAACCTGGGGACAGCAACGTTCCTGCCTCATGCTCCATCGTGAGCCCTGATGGACAGAGGGGGTTGGAATGCAGGAAACATCTCTTTGGCCAGGGCTTTGGATGTTGTGTCCTGCAAGGGTTGTGGCCCCACACTTTGTGGGACAAGCTTGGCTGGAAACCATGGACCAAGCCTCGAGACAAAGAACATGCATGAGATTCAAATGCAGGTGTTTGTTCTGGGGCTTTTGGTGTCAATGACAGCCCCCCATGTCCACAGACCACCCTTCTCATCCCACAGACCCCATCTCTTGGGCTCTGCCTCACTGCATTGATGCCACAGCTCAGTTTTGGTCTCTTCCTCTGTCACGGAGGTGGCCACATTGATCTCAGGGTTTGGTGATCCCAAGTGGCATTTCTGGGCTTGGTCTTAGCTATGCAGGGACATGTCCCATGGCACTTGGGTACTGTCATGTCACCAAACCTTTCACTGGCTCTTTGAAGGAAAGACAAGTTGGGAGAAAGGATCTCTGTCTGCATCAGCTCAGCATCAGCAGCTGCTTCGGTGCTCCTGAGCAAAACAGCAAAAGTCAGGGAGTGTGCACACCCCAGGGCCTAGACCTCTGAAATAACCTCCACATCCCAGTGCCTGGCCTGCTAAAGTCTCCAGTGGGTGCCAAGCCAATAGATCCACTTCTCTTTGTCATCTGCTGGGATAAATTTGTTCCCATTGCACGGGAGTGGCAATGGAGTGAGCCATGGCAAATCACTCCCCTCCTGCACCCAGCACAGACCCAAAGGCACAATCCATCCCCGGGGAAACTGGGGCTGGGGACTGGTTCATGGGCAGCTGATGCTCTGGCAGTTACCCAGAGAAGAGGCAGAGGGCTTGGATGAGGTTCACATGTTCATGAGGAAGAGGGTGAATTTAGTGATCACGGCCTCACCTGAAAACTGGCCTGAGGGTGCAGGTCCTGCTGGCAGAGGTGGATCCCAGTGGGCTGTGGGTCCTATCCTGCTCTCCCAGATCCTGCCCCGGCAGAGGGAGCTGTGACATCAGCCAAGCCATCGCTGTCCCTGCTGGGACACCAGCCTCGGGATTTGGAAAGGGACCAAAGAAAACAGTGCTGGGGCCACGGTAGTGCAGCCTTCTTGGAGAGCTCACTGACTCAGCACATCTGATCACCCACCCTTTTGCCTGTACATTGAGCCAGAAGTTATTCAGAATTTGTAATTTCAACTGTAAATGCACTGTTAGGTCTTAAAAAAATGCTTTAAAAAACTGAATCGGTTTACATCTGTGCAGAAAGATCTCAGACCCTCAGTGCAGTGATGGTGTTCAGGGGATGCCAGAGCATCTCTGTGTGCAGTGGCTTGAGGCTGGGACCCCACACTCACCTGGCAGGGACTCAGCCACTGGGGGAGCAGCAGGGCAGAGAAACACCTGAGTATTTCTAACTTGCAGAGTTATTTTCCTCCCCTACACCCACACACCCAGGGCAAGCACAGACAGGGAGCAGCACAGCTGCTTCACACCAAACAAATCCCCATCTTCCAGCTAGCATAACCACAGCCTCTGCAGTTCCAAAGGGACTAAGTGTGGTCCAAATCCCAGCCTGGCCTGGGGTGAGCACACATAGGTAATTTCTTATCATTTTCATTCCTGAGATAAGTGGATAAGCAACACCAGTAATGTGTGCAGCATTTTTCTCATCTGGCAGTCTGCATCACAGCCTGAACAGGCACTTTGCCAACACCCCATGTCACAGGCTGCTGACTCTCCCTCGGTAGGATATGTCACTGCCCATCCTGCTGCTGCACCCCAGTAACTGCTGCAAGCCAGGAGCCATTCATAGATCACATGTAAAATGGCACAGTGGTGCTGGGAGTGCACTGGTCAGTGGGATGGGTCTGTGGAAACACCTGACACTGTGGTTCAGAGCTCTGCTCAGTCCTGGGAAATTGCTGGATTTCAGAGACAAGGTTCTTTGCACACAAACTGCTGACACAGCTCAGTGCCCTGGAGAGATGGGACAGAAACACTGCATTTGTGAAATAACGATTTGACCACTGGAAGGCAACTACCAGCATGTTTGAAGCATCATCTTCATTCTTGATTTTGCCCTCAAGACAGCACAGACCGGACTCACAGGCCTGTTGGGCACCAGCTGGCCAAAGTTACAGCTGGCACATCTCAAACTGAGACCATGGCCATCAGAACTCCCTTCCAAAAACACAGCGCCAGACACGATGATGCTTCTCACCACATGAGAACCAGGAGAGAGAGCAGAATTCCCAAACCCTCTGCTCATCCAGCCCAAACCCCAAAACAACCACTTTCTCAGGGAAGAATAGCTTGTAATTATTTTTTTTTTATCCGTTTGAAAATATCACGTTATCTCCTTCTGTTCATGGCTTGGTGTGGTCTCACAGCCTGTGACAGCAGCGTCCCAGCCATCTGTGCAGCTCACTCCTTCCTCCAGCGAGTGGCAGACCGTGGTGCCTGGAAGGTTGGCAGGTTGGACCTGCCTGGTCCAATCTCGGCTGTCATCCCTCCATGCCAGGAACCGCCCGGGAGCATCACACAGACAGGGAGCAGAGTGAGGGAGCAGTCCCGTGGGACTGGTGGGGATGGCTGTAGCTTTCAGCTGCCCCAGAAAGGGAGTCTCTGGCTTGTGTTTTCTGGCAATTTAGAACTGGGTTTGTTTCTCGAGAAAAAAAAAAAAAAAAAAAAAAAAGATGCTGATGCTATCTGCAAAGGAAAAGAGAAAAATCTATCAGCACCATGAGGATCCAAGAACAAGCTGTTCTGAAAGGCTGTAAAAGCAGCACACAGGTATCTGAAGGTTGGGAAGCCCAAACAACACATTGAATTGGGTTGTCAGTGCATGTGGCCTTCCCTTCACCTCTCTGACAGGTACACAGTCCTTTAACCCTACCAAGCAAACCCTGGAAACACCATAAAACAGCAACAACTCCAACCCAGATATGCAACCTCCAGAGGCCTGAGTAAGATCTCAAGCATTTGGGGAAGGATTCCCAAGGCCACCTGGCACTGCCGTCAGCCTGCTCCCACCGGGAATTGCGGTTGATTTCCTAATGTCTTCAAAAGGTGAAGAGTCAAGACAAGCCTGAGTGTGGTTGGAAATCTCAGCTAGATGGACTGAGAGGCATCAGACCACAAAGCAGTCTGCATTCAAATGGGTAACGAAACAAAACAAGTGCTTAATGTCCTGCCCAGTTACATTAACGTTGTTGAGTAATGAACTAACGCTACTGCCACCTCTCCAAACTCTCAGCCTTTCCACACGAGCAGGAATTTGCCCACACACAGAAGTGCTGAGGTTATCTGAACTTTTACTCTTCCAAAGCAGGTTGAAAACAAGACCTTACATTATCCATATCTCCACCTGCTGAAGGGTTTAACCCCTTAGACACCCCATCTCCCACTTACAGTTCAGTGTCTACAATGACATCTGGCTTCTCCAGCGTTTGTCTTCTCCTCTGGATGGCATCCACAATCTTTTTCCTGGGGCCCAAAGGGATATTGATGCTCTTCAGGTCATTGTCTGAACACAGCATGAGGGCCTCCAAGTCAATCTTTTCCTTCTTCAGGATGGAGATGAATTCAAACATGTGCAGGGAAGCCAGAAAAGTTTCCAAGGGGCTTGTGTCTGGTTCATCATCATCATCTAAGCCCAGCTCCACCTCATCCCAGGGCAGCTCCTCCTCGTTCCTCTCCTGCAGGCTGTTGGCACTGCCAATGCTGTCGTTGAGACTTGGCGAGCGCTGCAGGCGGCTCCGCAGTCTGACGCCCATCCCGTCGGCGCTGTCCTCCCCCGGCGTGGCCCCGTCCTCCCGGCCGATCCCGAAGAGCCCGCTGCTCACGTAGTTGCGCCGGAACACCATGGTGCCCAGCCCGGGGCGGTTGAACAAGGAGTCGTGTCCAGAGTCAGTGCTGACCTCTGAGTGGGCCGAGTCCATGTGCAAACCTGGGTCGCTTATGGCACGGGAGACAGTGTCTTCCTCTGTGAGGAACATGTCTCGGATATTGCGGCGAGTCCACTCCTTGGGGCTGGCGTATGTGCCCTGCTTCACAAACATGACGTCGTTGCCCAGCTGCAGACCAGACAGGGACCGCACGCTTTTCCTGCCATCCTCGTAGATCTTGAATGTCCCGTCCACCTGCTTCTTCTTCTCTAATTTCTTTTGTATTTTCGTCTTTCCCTTGGCTGTGCCATGGATGGTGGCTTGTGAGTATGGCAAGGAAGTCACCATAGACATGTGCTGGAACTTCTTGCTTAAGGTGCTGCTTGAGTAGCTGGAAAAGCTCATGGTATCTGAATTATCTGACATCTCCTTTCTGTACCGTTTCTCCATCCTTTCGTGGTGCTTCTTCTGCAGCTTCACGCAGTCCTTAATCCTCCGCTCCGCATCCCGAAAGGCCTTGTCCTTCAGTTTGCTCACCAGCTTGGGGTTGAGGTTGCTCTGCTTGGCAGCAATCGAGTCCAGGTACCGCACACACTCCATGTGCCCCTTCATGGCTGCCATGTCCAGTGGGGTGTGGTAGTCATTGTCCAGGCACCAGATGTTGGCCCCAAAGGAGATGAGGAAGGAGAGGCAGTTCAGGTGGCCATTGGCTGCTGCCAGGTGGAGGGGGGTGTTCCCCCAGATGTCACATTTGTCTGGATCACCCCTAGGCAGCAAGAAAATCAACTGTTTAGCATGCAGGGATTGATGACAGACTTCACTGAGATATTCCCAGCTGTGCAGAGGCAAATCAGCACCATGAAGTGTTGACTCCTTGAAATATCAAGCTATGCACCTATGGTTCTTGCAACTTAATTTTAAAGGGGTCTTCTGGAGGGGAGTACTACTGACATGGAATCACATGCCCCATTGTCTGTGGCAATGCGACTTGAATTTAGGTCTCAAGAAAAATGTGTTCCCACATCAAACTTCTTGAGACAGGCAAGCCACGTTCTGAATAGCCCAGAACTGAGATACAGGTCTAATTCCATCTCAGACCTTAAGCTTGTTATAAAATTTCAAATCTCAAATATCCCATTAAAATTCGAGTCAGATTCTGTCTACAGAACTTGGCTTCATTCAGACTCTGTGAGGGGGCATGCCAAAATGCCTCTCTCTATGCCACATCCTGGGCTGGACACCTTGGGATCTCACCATGAAACATCCATTCTCAGCAATGGTTCTGAAACCCCTCAGCTGCCATACCTCCCCACCCACATGATCCTTGGCACGTGGGGAAATCTGCAGCACAAAGAGGAATGTTGGCAGGAGAGAATAAGAGTGATTTTGCTGTCATTGGCCTCGGCATTGGGGTTTTGTGGGGGATTTTGCTGTACCACGCTTGGCCTTGATAGCATGGCTAGAAGCACTTTGGTATTAGCACATCCTGAGAATCCAGTTTCAGAGAAAGTGCAGATTAGGTTTCTGCACTCCTCAGGAGCTGGACACTGCCAGTAGCATCTCCATTCGCACCGTGCCAGCCCCGGCCCCAGCATGCTGCTGGTGGGACACAACCCCTTGCCCACATCTCCTGCCTCCTGTGCCAGGACGAACACAAACCTGGGATTCAAGGGAAGTCTGTCCTCCTGACATTCCTCTGTATTTGTGCTCAGGTGAAACGAGAGAGAGTTCACACCCCTGCTGGCACCGGCCCTCTCTCGAGCTGTGTGCTAATGATATGCAGCCAGCAGCAGTATCTGTCAACAGGGCGCTCTCCCTCCGTGCACATGGATATGGCAAAGCCTTTTATTAAGGCTGGGCAGCTCCACCACCCTCAGGAGCAATTCCTCGTGGGCAGCAGGGCTCTGGCAGAGCTCTGGCTCAGCACAGCTCCTGCTTGTTCCCACACCACCCTTTCAGTGAGCTCCAGAGGAACCCAGCACTGTTCCTCCTTCACACAGACCCAGCTCCAAACCGTGGTGACACCAGGAGTGCAGAAAGCAAATCACAGAACACAGAGAGAGGAAAATGACCCATCAAGGTTCATCAGATCCAACTCCTTAAATGCATGCTTGAGACCCTCAGCAAAGGTTACTTTAATAAGGGTCTCAAGCATGCATTTAGGGTCTGTGATGACAAAAGCTGGGAGCAGCTGAGCCCAGAACCCTCTCCCAAATCCCATGTGCTCTGAGCTATGGCTTGTTTGACTTCAAAGAGTTCAAAAACTTCTCCAGGGAAAGAGCAGGAGATCACAGAAGCAGAGGGACTTCTTTGTCCTGCTGCTTTGTACCTTCATCACTTTGTGCTAATGCACAAATCCCAGAAACAGCCTCATCCAGCATATTCATCCCCACACAGGGACCCTGCAGCCTGCTTGGAACACTGCCCAAGGGGCAGCAGAGACAGAGAGGAACTGCCCCATCAGTGTAATGCCAAGGTCGCAGTCCTTAGGCTTTAGAAAAGCAATAAAGCCTGTCCAGATGTTAAGATGGAGATTATTTGCACCCAGAGTATGAACTTATTAATTTCACTCCCTGAAAGCTGCTATGAGTTGCACGCAGCTTTCTCTTTGGGAGCATGAACAGGAACTCCATCATAAACATATTTCCACTAAATTTACAGAAACATAATAAGTACAACCTTGATATCATTGGTAAATTCGGCAAGTTAATCAATAGGTTTGAAACTCTGTAAGGCCAAAAAACCCCGCGAACCCTTCAGGACTTCTGAACCAGACCCTTTGACTTCTCTCATAGAAGGAGAAAAAGGTTTCAAAGATGGGTGATGAGGAGGGGGAAGGCAGGAGATCACAGGGTTGAGGAGCCATGAAGCCAAGAAAAGGAGAGAAGGGATCTGATAGTACTCTAGCAATGCCCAGTTTCCAGGAGCAGTATTTCCCCAGCCCTTGCTTCTACCCTCGTAGTGACATGTCCAGGCTGGGAAATGCATGGGGAGGATAAATATTTGATGAATTGCAAGAGAGGAATAAATTATTGATGGAGCTGGATTTAAAGAGCCAGTGAACCTGTTCCACATGGAACTGCTGGTGCTGGTGGAGGGCCTCCAGGGCATGAAGGGCTGTTGGTTTGTTTTGTGTGCTCTGAAAGGGCCCTTGTGTGCCTGGCATGTGTGGGCAGGTGAGCCAGGGCACCCCAAGGGTCCCAGTGTGTATGTGGACTCATGACGTGGACAGTGACTGAGCAGTGGACTCCCTGGAAACAGTCTTGCTTCCAAAACCAAGTGTGTGGATGCTCAATCCCTCAAGTACCTTTTGGAGGCTATTCTCAGGTCTGTCTGTTTCAGAGGGCAGATGGCAAAGCCAGGAACGTCTTGGGGGTTTCATATGTGAAGATCTACTTTCCTCAGAGAGTGAGGGGAAAGAACATCAAAACCAGCTTTCCCTGGTCATTTCCACTGTCTATAAAAGAAGAGTATTAGGGCAAAATTAGATATCTCAGGCCCTCTGCCCTATAAATGGCTGCCGCAGGCACTAAAAATGCATCAGAAGGAAAGAAGAACGGTGACTTGCAAAGTAGAGACGTTTGATTCAACTCAGATAATAAACATGAGGCCCTCCCTCTGGCAGGTGTCTGTCTGAGCAAAACTTCACCTCCAGGGTGCTGCACATGAGGAGATGCTGACTGCAGGGTCCACTAAGTGGGAATATATTTTAATAACAGGTGTAAAGTGCAGCACTTCTCAGCTTCAAAGCGTTTTTCAGCACTTAGTCAACTCCTGTAATAATAATTATTAAAACACTGTTAATTGGTCCCCTTAGGTGGACATGTGCATCTCTTGAGTCACTCTGTTTGCACCATGACATGCATGCTCACTCCCTTCCTGCTGGTTTTTCCCCTCTGCTTCTCCCATAGGATCCCAATTAGCCAGGGAATCCAGTGGCACTTACATATGTTGTCTGCATGTGTGAAGTTCCTCTGATAGCAAAGGGCTGGCTCACCCTTGGCTCATGGGTGTGTGTGAGGAATTGGACCCTCAGACCAGGAGCCAACTGGGTGCAGAGTGTCTCTGCTCCCATAAAATGGTTTTGGATAGAGGAAGAGTGAAAAAATAAAAATTATGTCTTGAGGAACAATCCTCACCACCTTCAGCATAGTCAGTCAGGGCAATGACCCAAGCAAAGCCTAGAAAACAGCAGAAGAGATGAGGTTTTGGTCTCAGAGCAGAGCTTTGGGTCCTGTAGACCGAGTTTTCCCAGGTGGTGGTAGCCTGAGGATTCAATTGTCCTCCAGGTTCAAACCCCCAAAAATCCAGCAGAGATGCTGTAGATGAGGGTCATGCCAGGACTCTCTGCCTCTTGTCCCAGCAGAAAGCCAGGCTGGCAGTTCTTGTCCAGGTGAGTGTTCATGCTGGGGCAGTGCCCGGGGCCATGTCTCCTGCTTCAGCACCTCAACGTGCCCAGGGCTCACCCTCACTCCCAGCAGCCAGCTCAGGTGCCGGAAGCCACGAAGCTGCAACAGTGCCCCACCCTGCTCCTTCACCTTCCCGGCTGCTCATCACCCCGGGAAGGTCCCCACCAACACAGCCAGGCTGCTCCAGCTGCCACGTGGCCTCCAGCCCTGTGGCGTGCAGAGGATGCACATCACCTTCACGTGCCTTTGCTGCAACCTCCGCTGCAACCCTGCCCCGGCTGGGGTGATGCGATGCCCTCGAGCAGCCTGGCTGATGTCAGGAGCCACCCTCAGCTCCAAACCATGGTTGAGCCACTTGTCCCCTCTGCCACTGACATCCAAAGTATCTGTGCCCCCTGGTTTTGTAAGAAGAGAAAATGAGGACCGGCTCTCCTGGGTGACAATGCTGAGTGAGGTCCTGCAGACACATCCTCACTTCTCCTGCTGGCCC